TTACCTTCTGCTCTCATGGAGTTTAAAGTCTCATGGAAGAAACAAATCGTAACTTAGGAATCACATCATTGATACAAACTCAGATCAGTGATCTGAAAGAAGAAATATAGGAGAGTATAAGAAATTAATGCGACAGCCTGAGGACTTGGAGAAGGCTTCATTGAGCAAGGGACACTTAGCCAGGACCTGCTGGGTAAGATTTTGGTTATTCAGAAAGGCTTGGAATGGAGGGGACATTCCAGGTAGAGCCACAGCATGTGCAAAGGTCCTATGGCAGCAATGAGAATGGAGTGCTGGAAGGACTTCGAGTCTGAAGAGAAAAAAGAAGTGTGGCTGAATCATGAGAGGAAGGGAGGAATGGGGTAAGGTCTGTGGTGTAGGCAGTGCTGACCATGTAAGAGCCAGGAATAATGTGTGGAGGATTTGGGCCTTGGTATTAAGAGCAGAGAAAAACCACTCCTGGATGTTAAGTATTGTGCGTGAGCGGAGGGTGGATGCTAAGTACCCTGATCAGAGTTGCCGTTATCATGAAAACACTGGCTACCCTGTAGAAAACAGATGGGCAGTGCACCAGAACAAACATTAGAAATCATGGTGTCACACGCAAGGATGGTGTGGAATTAAGGAGAAAAAGGTATATTTGAGAGCTGCCTCGGAGACGTATAGTAGAGAACTTTGTGATGGATTTGACTTGGAGCGAGGGGTAAGGTGTTCTTAAACATAATTTCTGCGTTTGGGGCTTGTGCAGTTGAATGGTAAGTGTCATTTGTTAGGTAAGGGCCGCTGGCTCAGGACACAGTGTAGTAAGGACATCATGATTCACTCTCCAATATGTGGAGATGTGAGATGCATTTCTGATATTGAAATGGACTTACATGAGCTCTAGTATACATGCACCCGGAGGTCTGAGGACAGGCAGGACAGCATGGTTCCGCGCCGCTGCAAAGTGAAAAGAAAAATGCACCATGCAGATAATTCTTAGGTAAGAGCTTTACTAATTTAAGAGTACAATTAATGTGGCCCTGGCTGGTGTGGCTCAGTTGGCTGAGCATTGTCCCATGCACCAAAAGGTCACTGGTTCCATTCCCAGTCAGGGGACATGCCCAGGTTGCAGGCTCGATCCCTGGTAGGGGGCATGCAGGAGGCAGCCGATCTATGTTTCTCTCCCTCTCTCTCCCTTTCCCTTTCTCTGACTCTAAAATCAATAAAAACACATTTATAAAAAAGTATAGTTAATGTTAAATATCAGGATTATTGGCATCTACCTTGCTGGTGTCATCTCTTAATTAAATCAAAGACCATTTTAAAGAACACAGGTAAGGCCAAAAGCCCTTGGAGTTGTGGGTAACATGCTTGCTATGTCTGCAGTTGTACTACAATGATTTTATAAATGTGTGTGTGTGTGTAAAATTTATAACAAGGTAATGTGTGCACTCTCATGGGAGCTGAAATGACATCAAAGAAATCTTTAGCCATCTGCCTTTGTTTGTGCAGGAGAGCAGGCAGGAGTGTGTGGAGTGAGGGAAGAGTGTGTAAGGTGAGGGAGCCGTCCAGGTAAGTCGCAGGTGAGGGATGGGAGTGAATTAAATAAAATAAGCCCACAGGGGTTAAGCAAGTAAGCTTAAAAACAATTGGGAAAAATGCAGTGAGAAAACAGTCCACAGTTATGTTAGACTTTCCCTCTGTGACCGTTTCTCTGTTTATTAGTTGGCAATCTGATAAAGTGTGGTTTCATTCACACCATTTCCTAGTAAAAAATGTCGCTGGCAAATTAAACATTGATACATTCAGAGAAGCATCTGTAATGAGAAAGCTAGGGCATTTCTGGAGGGAGTCTGTTCCACGACTTTCCAGGACAGTTGGCCACAGAAAGGAAGAGAAGACTGCTGTGTGGCGGTTCATTCATTGCTCACAGGGACCGACTAGCCGCTAGGCCCCTGTGGCTCTTCCAGGGAACCTGAGTTGGCTAACAGCGAACTGAAGGAGACGTGAAAGGTGGTCACAGTGACGGTTCCTGAGCCTCAGATTTGCCATTTCGCCGCCTTTTCCTTTTCACGGCTTTGAGTATTCATGTTAATTTGATTGTGCACATGCCCTTTACAGTTAATCATCTCAAATCCTATTTGGAAAGTGGCACATTGTGAACATCATGTGCATAAAATGGGACTGGGTTGGTTCGAGTCTTAACACGTGGAGCCAAAATCTGTTTTCGATGATTCCGTTTGTCTTTCCCTTTGCTCACACCCACTCACACCCTCTGGCCTCCTCTTCATCTGTGAAAAACGATGTAAGTGAAATGTCCTAAAGCAGTGGGCCAGCAAACCCACCGGGCAGCGAAAGGATAATGTGTCTCCTTTCCAAGGTAGCCCAGCCGGACGGTTAACCACCTCAGGGCCACCTTGGCGCAGGGCGCCTTGTACATGGAGGCTGGTGGCTCAGCACCCCCCCCC